ATGTGTGAATTAGTCAGTAATGGATGTGTAATTAGTCAGTAATGGATGTGTGAATTAGTCAGTAATGGATGTGTAATTAGTCAGTAATGGATGTGTGAATTAGTCAGTAATGGATGTGTAATCAGTCAGTAATGGATGTGTGATTAGTCAGTAATGGATGTGTAATAAGTCAGTAATGGATGTGTGATTAGTCAGTAATGGATGTGTAATAGTCAGTAATGGATGTGTGATTAGTCAGTAATGGATGTGTAACAAGTCAGTATTGGATGTGTGAATTAGTCAGTAATGGATGTGTAATCAGTCAGTAATGGGTGTGTAATTAGTCAGTAAAGGATGTGTGATTAGTCAGTAACGGATGTGTGATTAGTCAGTAATGAATGTGTAATTAGTCAGTAATGGATGTGTAATGAGTCAGTAATGGATGTGTAATGAGTCAGTAATGGATGTGTGATCAGTCAGTAATGGATGTGTAATCAGTCAGTAATGGATGTGTAATCAGTCAGTAATGGATGTGTGATTAGTCAGTAATGGATGTGTGAATTATTCAGTATTGGATGTGTGATTAGTCAGTAATGGATGTGTAATTAGTCAGTAATGGATGTGTGATTATATATGATTATTTTGGTCATTTTGAGTATTGAAAACTGGTCTTAGAAGTTGCCTAGGAAAAAATAAATTATTTGAAAGAATACTATTTTTTGCCGAAAAATGGACACCGAATAAATGTCAATTACGGGTTTACAAATCTTTGAATAAAAAATATGCAGATGAAGCAATATGAAATACTTTCCCACAAACAATCCATATTACTAAGCTTTAACAAGCCAGTTTTATTTTACTCGATTACATCAATACTGTTACGTATCTGCTTGGATTTAACGTAGGATTCGAATTCAAGAGCTTTGGCCATTGCATCCTGCATAGTAGAGGGGTGTGCTTGCTTTACTTGTATCTTCAGTTGTGGCCTGTCCAAGGCATCTACAAACTGATCCCTCAGCAACAGCTTGAAAACATCGAGTGGTGCAGTTGGGTAGGCCTTGGGTGTGCCAGCTCTAGCAGGCTCTCCCCTTTAGCACAGACTCCCGTCCTAAACCTAGCCCTGTAGACTTCAGACTGATTTTGAGTTCCATCTCAGATTTCTAGAGCAGCTACCAGTACTCTATAGTTGTGCCTTTCGTCTGCTGACAACTGTCCAAGTATTTCCAGTGGTTGTCCCTTCAGGCTCGTTGCCAGGTACACTGCTTGATACTCCTCTGTCCATCCATTCATCTCTGCCAGGAGCTCAAATTGTGCTCTATATGCTTCCCATGGTGCCTTCCCATCGAATTCATGTGGCTTTCTTCGTACTAGATCACCCTATTGCTGACACTCATGTCTGGAATGTGACTTTTGGCAGGACTGAAGATGTCTGCATTATGGTTTAGTTGCAGTGTCTGGAAGGTGCTTCCTGTTGTCTGGGGCTGATTAGGTCCATGGTTAATATATCCTCCCTGCGTAAGAGACAGTAAATCGTCCTTTAATATATTTAATTCACTTTGAAATTTACTAATCTTTTCCATTTGTGTATGCTGGCTTTCTCTCAACTGTTGGAGACTTGTTTCTTTTCTTGTTCCAGTTGTCACTGGTGCTTGTTTTCTTGCCACTGCTGTAGTCTCTCTTCTTGTTTATTTTCTCGTTCTTCTTGTTTCTTTTCTTTTTCCCCCAACAACTGCTATAATCTCTCTTCTTGTTTCTTTTATTTTTCCTCCAACCACTGCTATAGTCTCTCTTCTTGTTTCTTTTGCTGTTCTTGTATTGCTGCCATCAAATCTGCTAAGTCGTAGTTTGATTTGCCATTTCTCTTTTCCATCTTCTTTTTTTTTCTTTTCCATCCCACTCCTGACATCAATTTATTACGGTATCTGCTTGTTTGTTAATTTCTGGTAGAATTTCTTTCCGAGGAACTTCAGCGATACAAGTCCCTTCTTGATTAAACCAGTTTATTCTTTCTCGATACAAACTTTTAGTATGGAGTAATTCCACAGTCAGTACGTTTCTCGTCATTTTAAACTTAACAGCTTTTATAATATATGCTATAAATCACTGCGATTCACAATCTCGATAACTTCGCTCTCGACGAGTACAAACACACTTTATTTACCGTAACTACTGTTCGCTTCTTTAATTATCTATATATCCCGCTGGCTTCCTCTGCCAGGCTTATATACTAAAGAAGAGGGCGTCTCGAACACACTAGGATTCCCCCGAAAATTCATGATCATTCGAAAAACTCCTCGCACACGCCACCAGGCCAATGCGCCAGCAGAATCACGTGACTTCCGCTGTCGTAACAATATGATTATGAATCACAAATAAAATATATCCTATCAATCAGTTAAGAATTTTCGAGTTACTCCCCTCAACACCCATAATAACAATATTTTGCAATGTTAGGCTAAAAAAAAAGTTAAAACTTAGAAAATGTATTTGTTTTATTGCGTCGAATTCTCGGAAACTTGAAAACGTGGATATTTTCAGAAAATGGCAATATTATGTTATTTGTGTTTTCCACGAGGTGTGGTTACCGAAATAAAACACCTTTTGTACCGATCACGTCAAGGGGTGACCGGAGACATTGTTTTATAGTAAATTTTGCAAAAAAAACATTCATTTTGAACGTGGAAAGAACAATATAATACACTAAAAAATATTACATTAGCAGATACTTTTTATGTCAAATATCATTTAGAAAACAACACCAGCTATACTGATACCATAACATAAAATTTGACTGGTCATCAAATTGACAATCGAGTTGGTCTGAACTAACGATAGACGCATGCGCAGTAGTTAAATCAATAAATGCATGGATCTCGGCTGGGTAAAACCTCTGAAGAGAGCTAATACTAAGTAGTAGAATCACGTCGACGTGGAAACCAAGCCTAAAAACTTCACCGTTGATACCAGATGAAAAGATCACAAACCCTTATTTTTTGAGAACCCGCTTGGCATATTCATATATATCACGGTTATGGACGACCAACTGAAAATGAATGAGATGGATTACTTGCATGTTCCTGATACTGATAAGTCTAAGAGTACGTCGCCTGCCGATTCTGTAGCTTCTTCAGCCACTGACATTTCTACTACACCAATTACAGGTCGCACTGTCAAACGTGATAACTTCGTAAGTTTTCTTTCTTTCTATGATATGGAGTATTTCCACATGTTAAAGTATTTGTTCATTTGTTTTTATTAAAGTGCTTGGGAATAAAAGTATTAATACTTTTATCACAATATATCTACACTTCAAATGGTAGTACTAGTAGGGCTAGTAATTATATACAACTGGCAAGTCCTACTCAATTTTGTGTGACGGCCCATTGTATAGAAAACTTCCTACGCTATCTCAAGAAATACTGAAATAAATTCAACAAACCTAACCCTAACAACAACATGACACCACGAATGTGAGTTAGCAACGCTGTCGTGTCGAAACAAGAAGTCTAAAACTCTTGAACCGTGATATCAAATATCTCTGTACGTTACCCACGATTCTCAATTAACAGATATTTTGAAATCACAACTGAACCCTACCTGCATCAGTACTACACTGCTGGAGATGCGTATAAACGTAAAATATTCACGAAGTGACTTGTCGGAATAAAATGGACGTTGGTCGTAAATTGGAAACGTAGAATACCACTTCTTTTTTATGACAAACGAGACTGCGACGGTTGAAAACGAGAGAGAAAGGGGAAGGCATAACCGGTATGAGGCAGTAGAAAAGCAGTTGTAAAAATTGTAGTCTGTTAAAATAACTTGTAATTTTGCGCCAAATAATAATGTAAAAGGTAATTATATTTTGTATTCTATAAAACAATATAGAAATGCCTCTTTTCCACAACCTGTCGGTAAAAATATGTTGTAGTAATACTATTATAACACCAAAAACCTGACCTTGGCAGAAAGCTTATTGTACGTCTGTACATAATGTAATTTAGAGGAAACATGAGAAATTATTTCATAAACACTATAAATCCATAAAATCACAGGTTCAACGGATAGTTTTATATATAAAAAAAAATAAAATCAAGAAATTGAAGAGTAAAATTTAAATTTTTGAATTGCGTTTTGAATTTTAATATTAAATTTAACGTGTATTGAGAATTAAGTTTTAGGCTTGGGATATGGAACGTACAGGAACACGTAACCGACACGTACCCTAACCTGTTTAAATTTAGACTGTGCGATGATCGTGAGTGAATACCGTATTGCCCCTAATTAACGCCCCCAGTATTTATGTAAAACTCACCTTGTGTGACAGCAATAGTAATCCAACATATAATCCACTTTTATTAGCGTAACTTTGATTTGAAACACACACTACTACTACTACTACTCGCTTATTAGCATTGAAATCAACAAGTCTCCTGAACAATAGAATCCAGAACAGCACAAATACTATAATTAAATACAATACTGTAGATAAAATGTGACAATTATGGAGTCGTGTGTACAAAATCTAAACTAGTTTGATTTTAAACATGTTTATATGCAGGCCCGCCGCCAGGGGGTGGGACAACTGCCTCAGGGACCGGGCGAATGAAACCTGGTTATGCCATAAAGTCCGCAAAGCATCTTTAGGCTATATCTATTTAATGATGAAAATAATAGTTTTTGATACATTAAGAACGACTGAAATAATAATTTGAGTAATAATTAATATGTATTTGTTACTTTATAGATTTAACAGATATTTGTTGTTACTTTATTAACGTTTTTACGCTAACACTGTGAGGTAAAAACGGCTGCTGCTATGACTTTGTCTGGTTTATGAGCTCATTGCTGTCCTAATTTAGGAAATAGTCTATATTACAACTGACACAACTATAAAGTCCATACATTGGAAACGTCGAGAATAATTTGTAAATCAAACAAACTACCTATCTAACTCTCCAGAATCAATTAATTTTTTTTTCTAAGTTTGGCTTTAAGATATGGAGCGTGCCTGTAATTTACTAAATCAGTAAAAAGTAACTACGAATTTTTTAGCTTCCGTGAAGAATCCAGTAAACTTTTTTACTCCTGTAATATAATCCAGCAAAGAGTCATAATTCTAAATATAAACACTTAAAACTCCACCAAACATAATTAAATTTTAGAAGCAAGATTGTGTTTTTTTTTTCTCGTTCAAATGTACGCTAACGAAAGTACATATTGTTACGTCTCCGTTTCGTTAATTAACTTTCCGTAACTTCGTTCCGACGAAACTTTAGCGACACAAGTCCTTACTTAATAAAACTGGTTTATTCTTTCTGAGTATAACTTTACGATACACTCAACTTCAACAGTCGCGCTATAACAAACGCT